TTCTCCTCCATTATCTGTTCTGAAACACTTGATATTATTTCCAGAATCAAGTTCCACCCGCGCTTTGAAGTTTTTGAAAGTTGAAAACACGTCTGACTTCTTCTTAATATGGTGCACCCATCTCCTGGAATAGTCATCAATAAATGAGACAAAGTATTTTGCTCCACCTAGGGACGTTACTGGTGTTTGCCATACGTCAGTGAACCAATTCTATAACACTTTTGCCTCTAGAATTTGATGTGTTGAATTTCAACCGGTGCTGCTTACTTGTTATGCAATGCTCACACAAAGAAAGTGATACCTTTGTTAAGCATGGAAGTAGCTTTTGCTCCACAAGGACTTTCATCCTTGTTCTGACATGTATCCAAGTTTCTGATGCCATAACATTGCCGAATCTGAACTACATGAGGCAACAGAGGCTTCTGCTTCTAGCAAGTCTCTCCCTTCAGCATGTACAAGTTTGCTTCTATCTTTTCGCCTTTTAGCACCACAAGCGCTCCACGGAACACCTTCATGATTCCTTTACGTGTTTCAATCTTGTTAGCATTATTATCCAACAATCCGTAGGATAATAAATTTTTCTTCAGACCTTTCACGTGCCGCACATCTCGAACAACTTTAATTGTTCAATCATACATCTTCAATTTGATGGTTCCCACGCCAACGATCTCTAAGGCATGATCATTGCAACTATACACAGATCCTCCTGAGACAGGTTCATAATGATGTAACCATTCTCTTCTTGAGGTCATGTGATATGTTGCTCCCGAATCAATGAGCCATATATCTGCAAATCGTTTTCTTCCTTCCACGGTGGTTGACGCTTCACAGCATAGAGCATCTCCATCATCTGAAGTGTTTGCGGTATTGCCTTGTGGATTGGAGTTTTTATTTAGACTCCAACAATCCTTCTTCAAGTGACACTTCTTTCCACACGTTGTAACACTTTAAATTCTTCTTGCTTTTCGACTTCGATCTACCATGTTTGTGACTGCTGCTTTGGCCACGTTCTGTTGATCTCCCTCTCATCGTTGTCATCGTTGTCAATGCTTCTGCTTGTTGCAGATTTACTTGTCTGTCTTCCTTGTTCTTGCACCGATTTCTTCTTGTAGAACAGCAGCTGCAACGTCATCGAAGACTACTGGTGACATTACTGTTTGTCAAGTTGATGATGAGTTGATCGTACGAATCCGGTAGACTTTGAAGTAGAAGTTCAGCACGTTCTTGTTCTCCTATTTTACAGCTTAAGGATGTAAGCTGAGAAAATAAGGTTTCAGTGTATTTAAGTGCTCCGTCACTGAAGTAGATTTTGGCATACGGAGAGTGTACAATTTTCTCTTAAGGAAAATTTTATTTTGCAGCGATGTGGCCTCGTACAATTTGGTGAGATGATCCCATATCTCCTTAGCTGTCTTCTTCTCCTCGATACTTGACAATACTTCATGCTAATGCTAGATGAAAGTTTGACATAGCATTTCCGTCCATTTCGATCCATTTGTTATCGTCTGTGAAATCTACTGGCCTTTCGCTGATAGTTGCTAGACAACCGTCTTTCCTCAGGATGGCCTTCATCTTCAATTTCCACAATGAGAAATTTCTCCCATTGAACTTTTCAATATCAAATTTCGTTGCCATTGCTTCGTTTACGGATAGCTCCCCTATTTCACTATCGTGAATAGTTCTGGAACCTTCAAAGAATGGGTAATAATTCTTATTTCTTATGTTGGAGGATCCACCTTTTGGTGGCAACCACAAAGATAATAAGCAGATATTACACACTATCTAGCTCGGATACCAATTGTTGCAGAAGATGGCTATCGGATAGAGCAAAATCGCAACTGATAATTTGAGAAAATAAAAATGAAGATAAAAGTGACACAAAATTTACGTGGAAAAACCCTAAAATTTAGGGTAAAAACCACGGGCAACGGTAGAAGAATTTCACTATGAGAAAATAGGAATTACAACCTCTCTCGATCTACCAAGGAGAAAACAATGATAATTCTCTCTTGATAAAAAAGGAGAAACAACTCTCAAGAAACTCTCTAAAGTCTCTAGTATTGGAAGAAAGCTAGAATGATTTTGGGATGGTTTTGAAGCTAAATGAGCTAGGGTATTTATAGGTTGAACTTAAGGACTAATCTTATAATACCCTAAAGTTTAGTGACTAAAGTTTATAATTACCCATTTAATTTTCAAACTTATGCACCTAATTTGACATTGTTGCACCTAATTTTGACATTGCAATATTAGGTGCCTAACTTAAACCAATTTTCCAAACTTTGACATTTCAACTAAATAAAACATTAAGTATAGTTTGAAACAAATGAAAGTGTAGATACTAAAACGAAAACAAATTGACAATTCAGATACTAAATGTATAATTTACCATATTATTAATTGCTTCAATAGCACTTGCCACACGTGTATCGTCCAAACTTATTTAAAAAAAAACCGAAAATTGATTATAGAATCCGTGCAAAAAGATTTATTTCGAAACAATAATTAAAAATATATGAAGTCAAATTCAATATATATAAAGTCAAATCCAAAATTTGATATTTTTTGTATTATTATATTTTAAAATATTTCGAAAGTAATGAATAATCGGTTAGTTTGGTTAATTTTGTAAATAACAGTAAAAAAGGGAAATGGCGGTAACGAAGACTGAGCCGTTGAAATAATACCCAGCGATGCGACATTACTCGCCTCTCCAAGCCTCGGTTCTCGGGACACGGTCCATCCGTTTTCACTTCTTTCGAGATTTTCATTTTCCCTGCCTTTTGCACTTCGTCCTCTCCATCGAGGAAAAGAGAGAGAAAGAACTGGAAATCCCATGGTGGAAACTGGAAGCTGTCGAGTTGTTGATGAGATACGATTAAGCGTTATCTTGGGTTTGACGGTGTTTTCATCAAAAACCAAGGTGCCAATCCCTACCCACTCGGTCACTTCCATTTCTTTATTTTATTTATAATTATATTGTGTATCTACTCCTCATATCTTTTTTTTTTCTTCTCTATCCCTCTCTGTTTTAAAAATCGGATTGGATTGACCAGTTCAACCGAAAATCCCGGTTCAATCGAAAATTATTGTTTAGTCTGGTTCAATCTAAACCGATTGAACCGCTATTAGTGAACCGGCCATAATCACTGAACCGTTCGAACCAGACCGAAAAAAATCAGAATTTTTATTTTTTTAAAAAAAAAATTAAACCAAACAACGTCGTTTGTTAAACGAGCCAAGTAGAACTCGAGTATTGTTGAACTCGACTCGAACTTGAAAACTTTAAAAGTAAACCCAACTCAACTTAAACTCACAAGCTAAAAATTATCAAGTTCAACTCAAACTCGAAAATATAATATTGAAACTTGAACTCAAAAAAGCTTGAACTCAAAAAAAAATTAGAAGCTCGATTGAAACCTAAAATTCGAACTTGATTGAAGTGAAAGAATAGTTCACTCAATGCTCACCAAAAGGCTCCATGATTTTGAATGTTAAATTACCTCTATTATTTACATAAGTTAGTTGTGATGCGTTTCTATGTTTCTTAGCAATGTGAGATTGTTTTGTTTTCATATTTTTACTCTTTAGACTTTTGGGATGCTCTTCTATATTTCTTAACCATGTGGGATTGTTTTTTTTTTTAAAAAAATTTAAACCAAACAATATCATTTTGTTATGATTTTTTTAACCCCAAATTTATTTTTTAATTATAGTTATATAATATATTATTATAATATGTTTACCTTAAATATAGTGTTGTAGTTAATTTAAATCATTTTATTTCACTTGATTTTATGATTTCACTTATATATGTTATGACTTGTTTTGAATATGACTTGTGATATAAAAAAATTATTTTTTATTAAATATTTTTGATATTTTTATTTAATTTTTTAAATAATTATGACGTCGTCTGATTTTTTCGATCGATCGGATCAGTTCGATCGGTTAAACCAATAACCGATAATATGATCGGCTCGCTAATCGGTCCGATTCTGGATCGGATCAGTTCGATCGGTTAAACCAATAAACCGATAATATGAGGCTCGCTAATCGGTCCGATTCTGAAAATATGCAATCCCTCTCAATTGTTTTGTTTCACTTTGCACTGATCTGCTTGTCAACAATTGTTTTTAAATTGTAGCTTCGTCTTAAAGCTGTTCGCCTTTATGTGACTTGTTGTTTTCGGGGTTTTAATTGGGATCTGGGTTTTATAATAGTTTTATGATGAATTTTTTGTTTTGGGTTTTAATGGTTGTTTCTCATATTCTTGTAGGGAATTTAGAACATATCCTACGGTTTTTTTGAGAAGGCAAATTTTTTGGTGAGGAGGGTGAGTTTTCATGGGTTGAACTTTGGGACTTAATGATGGAGAGTTTAAGTGAAGAGGAAGATCAATTTTTTGATACCCGTGAAGACATCACTTCTGTTTTGATTTTGGATCCGATTGCCCCGGTAATTCTGATACCGATCAGCCTGCATCAGCTAATTCCGAGCCGACTGACTTCGGAGTTGAAGTTTGGATTAAAAACTTCAGCAGCATTCGCGAACGACGTAATAAATTTCTAAAAATGGATGGGTTTAAGTGGAGACCAGACTCTCTGGGAAAGCCACGCTAACATGAGTTGTGATGAAATTGAAGTGGAGACTGGTAGAATTATGGAGAGAGTGGAGCGGTTTTAGGATCATCGGATGGCTTTTCATCAAGTCAGTCTTCCATGCCATGTTGTCAAGTGATGTCTGGAGTTATTGGATGGGGCGTTTGATGATGATTTCGTGTGTAGGATTAAGAATTTGGATGATGGAACAGAGTTTGTTGTGGATGAACTTAGTCAAGATGGTATGTTCAAGGGATTGAGGGAAGTAGGTTCTAAATTTGCTTACCATTGATGAATTTGAAAGGAAGATTGGCTTATCCCCCCTAGTAAAAAAGCCGTGGTCGGGAGGTCAAAGAAATTTCCAATTTAGGCCCAGAAAGAAAGCGGAGAAGAAAAGGATGGCTTAGGCGATTAGGTGCTGTTCTTGCATGTGGATTGGCAGTCTGAAGCTGCTCGAATGATATTCAACAGTTGTTATCCAAATGCAGAGGCGGGGTTTCAAATGGTTCAAGTAAGAACTCGCAAGAAGTGGTCAGAGGAATTCTCAGCTCTTTGCATGAGACAAGATATCCAAGCCCACGAGGGGGCAATCTTAACGATGAAATTTAGCCCTGATGGTCAGTACCTAGCAAGTGCGGGTGAAGATGGTATTGTGCGGGTGTGGCAAGTTGTGGAGTCTGAAAGATCAGGGAATTCTGACATTCATGATGTAAATCCTTCATGTCTACTTCCGAGTAAATAGTTTTTCTGAGTTAGTTCCTCTACATGCGGACCAAGAGAAAAAAGAAAATCATCAAGTGTGAAGAAAAATTCAGACTCGATCTGTGTCATTTTCCCTCAGAAAGTTTTTCAAATCTTGGATAAACCTATCCATGAGTTCCGTGGGCATCGTGGTGAGGTCCTGGACCTCTCCTGGTCAAAGAATAAGGTTACTAATTTGCTCTGAAATTTTAAACAACTTTCTATTATTTGCTAAAAATTATTCAGGTATGTAATTAAGGTTATTTATTTGCAGCATATTTATCATCCTCAGTTGATAAGACAGTTCGCCTGTGGCAAGTCGGTTATGACAAATGCCAAAAAGTATTTTCCCATAATAATTATGGTAATAAAGTTTAATCCGTGCTTGAGTTTTTATTCTGCCTAATTTGTGCCATTATAATTGTTATATATGATCTTATTGCTCTGTGATGCAGTAACATGCGTTCAGTTTAATCCAGTGGATGATGATTACTTCATAAGTGGTTCCATAGATGGAAAGTGCGTACATGGGCAATTCCTGATTGTCAAGTTGCTGATTGGATTGATGTCACAGATATTGTTACGGCTGTGTTACCGTCCTGATGGAAAGGTTTGATGGAGCTCTTCTTAATCATTTTATTAGCGATCAGTTTCAGGATTTTCAGTTCATTAATCTTTTTCCTTCTACAGGTGCAGTTTTTGGCAGAATGAATGGCAATTGCCGCTTCTATGATGCTTCAGGTATGTATTTGTTTTCCAGGTGTGTTTTGAAAATTTGTTTTATTGTTACTTTCGAAAAGCATTTTTTTTGTTCACATCTCTGTAATGGTATTCTAGGGTCTTGCGACTTCTACTCTTTGTTTAGCAGTTTATGAAAAACTTTCTGCTGTCTCTTGGTTTGCTTTTGATGAATGAAATAACCCTCTGCTAAAAATCAATCACAATATTTGTTATTTATAAAACGGATTATTACTTTTGCAATTTGAATGGAAATGTTGGATAACTCCCCTTGTCAATACCTTTTCTGCTTTATAGTATTGACAGGTGATTTACATTATTTATGTTCAACCTCTGAATGTTCTTTACCAGACCTATACTAGAGACCTTTTCTAAAGTTAATTTGTTTGGAATACACTAACCGCTCTGTTTACATGACAGATAACCGTCTGCAACTTCATGCTCAATTATGTATATACAGTAAGAAGAAGCCACCATGCAGTAGAATAACTGGACTTCAGGTATTGTCCCCTACCATCTGTTTTCCTCATTCTCTTTGTGAAACATATCTGTGCCTTCAAGTAAGCTTCCCAGCATTCAAAATGAATTGAGGAATTATCTTGCAGTTTTCTCCAGCGGACCCAGATATATTAATGGTCTCTTCTTCTGATTCACAAGTTTTAATCTTCAATGGTATTGAGATGGTATGCAAATTTAGAGGTAGGTAGTTGTTTGGCTGATTTTCTTTATTTTTAGTCAGATCCTAAGTTTGTTGTGACTTTGGTAGTTTCATAATTAATTAGAAATGTGGTAATGAAACATTGGGCTGAAAACAGTTGTGCAACATGGAGATGGATCAAAATTTGAACGACCAAGTTTTTAACACCTTATTATTTGATGACTCTATTAACACCCCTATCTTCTCTACTACAGGTTTGCAGAACGCAGGGAGTCAGATATCTGCGGCATTCACCTCAGATGGAATGAGGATTGTTTCAGCAAGCGAAGATTCTAATGTCTATGTGTGGAACTATGTTAAACAGGATGGGCCAGTGCCCCGCGCAAAGAACAATTGGTCTTGTGAATGTTTTTTCTCGAAAATGCATCTGTCGCGATTCCTTGGTGTGGGATAACATGTAGAAACTATATTTTTCCAAATATGTCAGGAACTTCACAATCACCCAAAGATTGTCTAGCGATGGAGGTGTAATGGGAATACTGGGGATTTGCAATCTGAGTTGGGTGAGATCTCCGAACACAAATTCGCATTCTCTTCTGAACGTTTTTCACCGGGCCATGGATTTTTCTCACTGTCTTTACCCAAGGGTACTGCAACTTGGCCAGAGGAAAAGCTCCTCCTTCCAAACTCCTTGGTTTTGTCTTCTGCAATTTGTAAATCTCAGTACAAGTTGTGCAAGACATCTTACCAGAGTGCTCTTGGTTTCTTCTCACACACGGGGCCTCGTAATTGTAACAGCTGGCTATGATGGACGAATTAGATCGTTCCAAAATTATGGATTACCCATCCAAGAAACAATTACATTACATCACTTGTATTGGAAGCTTTTGTCGTCTGGATTCGTGGCTAAAATGACCATTTGTGATTGATTGTGTGCAAGTTATATCCACAGTGATATCAGGATTAGTGTCGAGCAAACATATGAATGCGGACTGTATCTGATGTCAAGACACTTTAGCAGGCCAACCAAAGTTGACAGGTCTTCACAGTGGATTCAAATCTTAGTTCTAGTCTACATTTTTTCCTGATGTCCAGATATGGCCGGTTGAATTTAACTGGATCAAATATCCAGTTTAATGATATTATTTATTTGACTTGTTAAACGTGAAAACCCAATTGACAGGGTCATGCCAAGGAGTCCCATTTCAAGCTTTGTGTATGCTCTACAACTGTAGATGTTTTGGGTGGGGTCTTTTGGAGAGACATCTTTTAAAACACAGGATGAGAATTATATATCCGGTGGACAGGAGTTACTTGTGAAAAAACTAGTGGGGCTGGCTTTTCCTCGGAGTGATTTATAGAATGGCTGAATAATTGGCCTGGCCGTGATGGTGGGTTAACTGATTTTGGATGATTCTGGAGGCTGCTTTGCATTCTGTTTAAGTGGAAGGTGTCATTGTCAACTGACTGGTTGGTCCATTGCCACATTTTTAGAGTGATATGGTACATTTGGATCGTTCAACCAGTGCCATACCAAGTCAAGCTTTACGTTGTGTCGTAAACCTTGGGGAGGGCGTATTTAGTCTACAAAACATTGGCTGTGAATGTTAGTCTCAACCCCACGTGGTGCCAAGGTAATTCTTATGTAGTTAGCAATATAGAGTCATTCATAAAGCTTGTATTTAATTTGTTATTACCCTTTGGAATCAATTGCCAAGGTTGATCATTGGCGCATATAGAGGATTTGCTCTTTTTTCTTGGGGGGTGAAAAAGGATCTGATGTGTTGTACTACAGTAAGAACAGAAAATTTTGAAGATGAGCTTGTAGGTGCCAGAATTTTAGATTACATGCAAATGCATCACATTTGAATGAAAATTGTACTTTGAAATGTTTTTATTTCTGGTGAACACCTTAGCTATTAAAGTATATAATTAGTTTTACTGAAAATAAATGGATAGTACAGATACATGACTCGTTTTTGTTTCTTTGAACTCGGATATCCTAATTGCAAGCAACTGTTTGCAATGGATTAATAGGAAATCTGGCTTGTTTATAGAATATCCATATCTGAAATCTGCTTTAATTTTTATATCTAAATTCATTATTCCCTATGACCCGGTAAATATGTCCATCGTTGATTTTTTGTCAATTTTTTTTAAAATTTTGACTTATTATTATTATTTAAATTTTATTATTGATAAAAATATTAAAAATATTTAAAAACTCTCAATCAATAGTTTCAGATATATATTTATAAAATAATAATGGTCAAAGTTTAATTTTTTTTTAAAAAAAAAGTTAATACTAGATAGATTTAATGAGATGGATGGAGTATTTGTTTTACATTTTAAATGTTTTATTAAGGAAATGAATTCAAATATGAACTCAGGAGTGGTCCTAATGGCAAATGAAATGCTGTTCTTTTTAATTGATTCAACATTTTATTTACACGTGTGCGTAAATTTTATGCCTATTTAAAATAGAAAGAGAAATTAAATTTATTAAATTTCAATTTTTAAAGGTGAATGTGATTAGATAGGAGTGGTCATTGTAGTTTGTCCAGATACAGAAACAATTAGAGAATAGTTCAGTTAATTCAGTTTGAAATAACCAATATTTTAATATCTTAAATTTTAAGTTTAAACTCATCGATAGTTTATAATATTTTAAAATTTATATTTTAATTCTAATATTAATTTCGACTAAAAAAAGTAGAAATAAAGATTATTTAACATAAAAAAACTATATATTTACTTATTCTAAATGAATGTTAACATTGGGCCCAACTACGGTCCAAGAACTGGGACAACAATGGGGGCTTCACTTGGTTTTGGAAATCAATATATTCCAATGACAACAGTCCATACTTCACACTAGGACCTATCGCATTCGTAAAATATGACAACAGCGCCATGGAAGCAGCTTCTTCTCAACGCTTTGGAATCCAATTCCCATCTCAAGCACTCTTCCTACTTTCAATTCGTTAGCCTTTCTCCTTACCACTGTTCTCTTCTTCTTCTTCTTATTCTTCCTTTGTTTGTGATCTCTTCTTATTGAGTTGTTGGTACATTTTCTTATTGTTTTAGGCAACTGTTGGATGTAATGGAAGACCCTCCAATCGCACCGTAGTTTTTAGGTACCCAATTGCATATTCTTGTGAAATTCTGATCTTGTTTGTTTGGAATTCTAACTGTTTCTTGGTTAATTTACAGAGGATTTCAAGAGAACAGCGACAAGCTCCATATCAACACAGATTACAGGACACAAAAGGTTTCTTTATATTTAATCTTCCTCTATTTCATGATCCCCCCCTTTTTCCTATTGAATGTTCTGTGAAATGGGTACTGAATTGTTTGTTGCTTTTGCAGATAGAAGAGCTGAAGCATTGCCCTTTAGCCGAGGTAATTTTTATTTGAGGTATACATACCCCACCCCAATTATTTTCAATAAACTGATTTTCTTGTGCATTTTACTTAGGGTTTACTGTTAAAGCTTTCTTTTATTAATCTTTTGTTATCCCCCCTTATTGATTGTGTAATTCTGCAGGTATGTTGGTACTTTACTGATTCATGGGAGCAGTTTCGGATCAGCGGGAGAGTTGATGTTATTGATGGATCCAATCCTGACACCCTCAAACTTCAGGTTAGGCAAGATCTACCCCCATTTGAGTGCATGATACTTATTTCAATGGCTGATATTAATGTCTTAGGATTAGGGTTTTCTTTTCTGAAGCTACCAGAAAGCCTTATAGAACTGATCAACTGATGATGGTGCCATAGGCATAGTTAATATTGTAGAGCATAATTACCAAATGTATTTCCACTCTATAGGATCGTTGTACTTCTGATGTTTAATTTATAAGCTATATCACCATTCGCTTTTACAATTAGTTAAGATTATAATTATGCATGACAATATTTAAACACCAGTTTTCTCAATCCCCTTCAAAAAAATTAAGCATGCTGTGACTTATGCAGCGAAGGGAGAAATCTTGGTTTGCAAGTTCTATTAAATCAAGGCTACAATACTCAGGACCTCATCCTGGTCTGCCGCGCATAACCGAGCACCAAAGTGAGGAGGAAGCTCTTTTTGATCCTTCGATTGGCCCTTTTGCTGCATTTTGTCTGTTGGTTCTAGATCCGGATCAGGTCACCCCTTGTCTAACAGTTTCTTTACAAAAAAGTCCGAGGTAGAAATGGGCAATGGAAGGGGTGCTATATCTATTGCTTCATTTTGATTATTTGCAGGTTGATTATTTGGATTGAAGAACAATCAGAGGCTTAAGTTTATATCCAAACTCGAAACAAATGGAGTTAAAAGCTGGATTCAGAGAGAATGAACCCATGATTTGTTTTCAGTTTCTAAAACCATAACGTGGGCACACATTGCATCTTCTAAACATATCTGGTATGTATGGTAAGGTTGATGTTGAAGAACCGTATTAGAATGTTATGGATTAATTTAACCCCCCCCCCCCCCACACCAAATGGATATTAGATTCCATGAATAATATATTCTTCTTGAGAACCCTTTCAAAAAGTACAGTTAATAGATCATGTAATAAGGCTCATTATTACAATTGATTTTTATTATCGAGTTTCAGCTCATTTCCAGTCATCTATTGATCTCAAATCTTCTTGCACTAATCTATTTTTATTGTTTCCACTCCAATGAAAACTGTCGTACCATCTATGCATAACAAGACCTCCGAAGAACTTCGTAGTAGTTGAGGGCTCATGGTAATATCTTCTAAATAAGGTCTTTGGAACCTTGCATCTCTCGAAAAGTCATAATCCTTCGACTTGATCTCTTGCATGTTTCACGTAATTTTGGCATGGCCAAAATTAACTGACAACCTACCACTTTAATTGGGTTTATCCATCCGAATATCAATTATGATCTTGCATTTAACATTAATACTAAGATTTATTATAAAATCTCTCGATTAAGACTGAGAGCAAAGATTTAGAACTCTTTTCTTATTCCCGTGTCTTCTTATAAAGATAAAGTACTCAAATATCGGCCAACGGTTGAATAACATCGATTATAACTCTCTACCCAAATAAAAAATAACAACTTAAATAAAAAAAAAGCCAACTTCAGACACGATTCATTTGTTACTATCAACAATAACGATAATTGCACCCAAATATCCATCTGTCAAATCTAATCTACTTGTCAAGGTAACCCCCTATCTGGAGTAAAACACCTGCCTTGGTTTGCCAGGGAACAGATATCTAGAAATTCCTACGTAAAAGAAAACTGATGCCAACGTAACAAAATTCTGCAATTCAATGCAAAAATCCGGCTGTCGGGTGCCTTTGCGGAGCTTCCGAGGACAATCACAATCTCCAACTCTTACTCAATAGGCATGCAGCGTCCGGGGATAAAATTTGTAACCAACCTCTGTAACTCCAACGCGTTTTATTAACAAAGAAAATCAACAGTGCGCTTTCATTTATATTTCTTTGGCAATTGAAGAAGCAAAAATCATGGCAATAGGATGTCTGGGTTTTCCCCCGTGGAAACGAACCAAAGTTGAGTTTCCAAGGACTAAGATCCTGGAGGAGAAACGAGCTAAGCTGTGGATAATTAAGCGTTGTGTGTTGATGCTGCTTTGCTGGCGAGACCCCAAGGATAAATAATATTACCACCTTTCCTAGCTATGGATTCAATATCTCAAACTCGAGGTACTCACTCAACTTCGCCTTGCTATGTAATTGTAATATTTATATCAAAATGTTTGCACTTAACTCACCTTAGTCCCTTGTTCTGCTTTCTTCTATTTTTCGATCCTTTTTCCTAGTTGAGGCAGATATCCTATAGATGCAACTTTTGTTTGTTTGGAGTTGTAAGTGTTTTTTAAGGTGACTCGAGAGGATCTATTCTCTTTTTATATTTCTTCTTGTTACTATTCCCGGCGCTACGTGGCAAGTATGACTAAGAGGGTTTATGGTGGCGACTACCAATAGGTGGTTTAAGGTCATCATTTAATTTACTTAATTACTTCGTTCATAGGTCATCTACTTGATTAACCGATGGTTTTTTATTATGAATCTGCCACCTTGTTGGTGTGCTCCTACGGTGGCAGATTCATGTAGTGCAAAACCCTATAGTAGTAGAGTCATGTTGAGGTGAGGTAATATTTTCATAGAGGTGTGTATTTTGGATCATAAATTGAAAAGTAGTGCAGTGCAGTGGAGCAGATGAGTTTGGAATGGATGATGAATGCCATTCAACTTCAACTGACAGCAAATAATGTGGCACAACAACCTTTCTTCTACTCTCACCAAACACTAGTAGCCACCGGCGGTGAAATGAAAGAAAACCCCCTTTTCTTTATTTATTCCTTACAAACCAAGTCATAATCTTTCTCCAAGCATGAGTAAACAAGAAGACTCATGAACGCGTAAGTCTCTCTTGTTCTATCTTTTTTTTAAAGTAGCCAAATTCTCTAAAGATCGTATCATGAGGCGTTCCCTCTAAGCAAACCTCCACCACCATCCCCATTAATCATTTCCTTCACCTTCCCAATTCCTTTTCTTTTAATCCCACGTACTGCTTCTATTCCAAAGTCCAAACCAACAGTTTCCCAATGCCTGCTCTGGTTTCCGTTCAAACTCCTCCACCCAACGCGACGCCATTGCGAGTTCTCCTAGCCGCAACTGAAAATGGCGGCGGCTCCAGGCGAACTCCATCTCCATCACTTTCCGTTTCACGTACCAAGCTAATGAAAAGAACCCCGGATAAACTCGGAATCGATGAGTCCTCTCTGGAAAACCGGGATCTGGGTCCTTTTCTCCTCAAGGTCGCTCGAGACACAATCGCTTCCGGGGATAACCCGAACAAGGCTTTGGATTACGCCATCCGAGCCTCGAAATCATTCGAAAGGTGCTCGGGTCCTGGGGTGGAGCTGGCGATGAGCTTGCACGTGGTGGCGGCGATTTATAGCAGCTTGGGGAGGTTTGAGGAAGCGGTTCCGGTTTTGGAGCGGTCGATTGAAGTGACGGATGATGCACTGGCGAGGTTTTCCGGGTGTATGCAGTTAGGGGACACGTACTCGATGATGGGTCGATTGGACCGGTCCATTCACTGCTATGAATCAGGATTGAGGATCCAGATTGAAGCTCTCGGGGATTCGGATCCTAGATTTGCCGAGACTTGCAGGTAAAATAACTCCAAGTTGCTGAGTTGCATCATGAATCTTCAGGGATAGACGTAGGATGAATCATACTCTAAAAATTAAAAATTATTATATATTTTAAATTTCTATATTTTTTTTATTAAAAATCAATTTTAGTTTATTTGAAATTTTTTAAATTAATCATTTTTTAAAATTTTAAAAGTTTATTCCGTTAATATAAAATTCTATATTTATCTCATTGCACGCCGTGCGTGCTTGTCTTTTTGGAGGGTGAAAATGACAATTAATAAGTTTTTTTGCATACCATTTTTTAATCATTAATTTCTAATACTTTTATTTTTAATTTAAATAGTTTCGTGTGGTAGAAGAACTATTATATGTTTAAACCAGCAAAGCATGTATGTGTATAGATGAGACATAAGATTCTTGTAACAGCACGAACTTAGAAAGTTATTTTAGAAATTTGGCCAATAATAAATATAAAAAAATACTTAAATTATATAAAAACTTCAAATTTCAAGAATGTGGTATAATCACACCTGCTCACCCTTCTCGGTCCATGTGCGTCTAACTGATTTGTTTCTTGGAAAGAAGGTAGCTATAACTTGTTGCTTGAGGATTCCAATTGAAGATTAATTATGCACCCTACTCCCAACCTATAGCTTACTAGCTCATGCTTTCTTCATAACTAATAATGGTGTTAAAGTTAAGTAGCATAGCTGGATTGAAAATGGCAGATATTTAGCTGAGGCCCATGTTCAATCTATGCAACTTGACGAGGCAGAAAAGCTCTGCAAGAAAACCCTTGAAATCCACAAGGAGCACAGTGCACCAGCTTCCCTTGAAGAAGCAGCTGACCGCAGGCTAATGGCCCTTGTATGTGAGGCCAAGGGAGACTATGATTCTGCCCTCGAGCACCTTGTCCTGGCTAGCATGTCCATGATTGCTAATGGTCAAGAAAACGAAGTGGCCGCTATCGATGTTAGCATCGGCAACATTTATCTCTCCATTTGCAGATATGACGAGGCAATCTTTGCCTATCAGAAGGCACTCACGGTATTCAAGTCCACAAAAGGAGAAAGCCACCCTTCCGTGGCATCCGTCTTTGTTCGGCTTGCCGATCTATACTACAAGACCGGCAAGCTAAGGGAATCCAAATCTTACTGTGAGAATGCTTTGAGAATATATGCAAAGCCTGTCCCCGGTACTACATCAGAGGAGATTGCCAGTGGATTGACTGAAGTCTCAGCCATCTATGAATCTTTGGAAGAGACTGAAGAGGCTTTGAGGCTCCTTCAGAAGGCTGTCAAGTTACTTGCAGACACCCCAGGCAACAGAAGCACCATTGCAGGAATCGAAGCACAGATGGGCTTGATGTTCTACATGGTCGGGAGATACGGGGCTCGAATCTCTTTTGAGAATGCCGTGGCAAAGCTCCGTGCAAGTGGGGAGAGTAAATCAGCTTTCTTCGGAATTTTATTGAACCAAGTGGGACTAGCAAGTGTGCAACTCTACAGAATAGACGAGGCAGTCGAGTTATTCGAAGAGGCAAGAAAGATATTGGAACAGGAATGCGGCCCATGTCACTTAGAGACTCTTGGAGTTTATAGCAACCTTGCTGCCACCTACGATGCCATTGGAAGGTAAGCATTAATATTCAACATTCATTCCATGTTCTTGTTCAAATCATCGTGCTTAATGTATTTAGCTTAACTGCTCTGGTTACATAGGCAAATTAGTGATAGAAAAAAACCTTAATTAATGACAACTGAAATATTGGAGTCCATTGAACATGGGAGTTGTGTTAAACGAAGGGTGGAAGATGCAATTGCGATATTGGAGTACATCCTTAAAATGAGAGAAGAAAAGCATGGAACATCAAATTTGGAGGTCGACGACGAAAGGAAAAGGCTAGCCGAGCTCCAGAAAGAAGCGGGAAGGATGAGGAGCGGAAAAGGGAAATCACTTGAAAATCTTCTTGATGCCAGAGGTGGTACCAAGAAGGAGAGTGCAAAGAAGTGGTCAACTTTTGGTTTTAGGTCTTGAATGAATCAAGCAAGCAAGCATGGAAGTTGCTCTCCATACTCTGCACTTATAAGTATTTAACATTGAAAATCAGCTACATCCGCTCAATTATATGGACCCTTCGTGCATATATATGTGTTCCAATATTTTTTCCCTTTTTCATGTTTGTGGATTCATATTTGGATTGGAATTGGATGATTGAGTTGTAGTTTTTCATTTGTCCAACAGTATTATTCAAGGCAAAATCAAGAAAAGTTGAGTGTGGAAAGTCTAAGGACTTGCTTGCATTGGTGAAAATAAATTAGAGGATAAAAAATTAAAAAAGTTGAAAGATATATATTATCAATCTGACATTCAAATAAACTTGACTAGTGATATTATTGACATTGTTTAAAATTAATTTAAATATTGTAATACTATCATCATCATGAAGCATTTGAAGAAGATTGAAGAAATTAAAGATTAAGTTATGGATTTGATAACCAGCGACTGCAGCAGGGTGATTGAGCGTTCATTGTCAAATGATTGAGAGTATTTAGAACAGATACTACCTTATAATCACCTTAGCTTAATAAAAAAAAAAAGAAATTAAAGATTAAGTTGAATTTTTGAGTCGGTTATTTATCATTTTATTATTATGAACTATCCAATCAGAATTTCAATTTAATTGATTTGATTCAAGAATTTCAATCAGAATTTCAGCCAAAAGATGGAAATGTTGTTTTTGATTCAAGAATGCATGAACTAACTACTATACCAAATGTTTGAGCATGCAACAATTTGAAAACTCATTGTTGCTGCACAACGTGAAATTTTTACCTCTAAACTGCAATTTACTAATATTACATATCCATGCCGACAAAATCTTAGCTGAATACAAACAAATCCTGAGTTCCATACAGCCCCACAACAACAGCTAGAGTATAGAAGAGACAGAATAGTAATGGACTTTACCTATTTTACATTAGATTAGTCATTTTCATTCACACCAAAATATCAACTAAAAGAAAACAGGGGTCATCCCACAAATCCACCCTTCTTTTCCCTCTTACTCCATGGAACTGAGAGCCTGAAACCTTCCTGCATAGTTGCCTGTCGTATCCAAACAACAATATCAAACAAGATCTACCAAGTTCATGCTTTAAAAACTGTGTTTTTAGCTCTCCCATTAATAAAGGTGAATTATCAGTAATAATAACAAATTATCCCAAGGAGTAATTCAGTATTTATGATAACTATGCAAGTCAGATTGCAGAACAGACTGAATTGTAAAGAAAATGGGAATTAAAACTTACCAAGAATTTGAAGTTGGAGTGTAACAGGCTACGAAAGCTTCCAACCCTTTTAATTCTGGTGATCTTAACACTTGTGGCACAGTTGCTTTCTTCTTCGGCACTGCATTCACTGTCTCTGTCCCCAGAAGACGGGAAGACATGGCTATTCCCAGTCCCGTCAACTTCTCTACTAGCCCTTCTTCTCCAAGGACCAAGAAACCATTTTGCTTTGTGCGTTCCTCTCTTGCTAAGAACCATGGTGCCAAGGTGCACCCTCTCGGGACTACGACAGCCACTACGAAAGGATCCGTATGTTACGAATTAGGGGTGAATTTTGGGGATTTCAGAAGAGAATTAGAAAAGGATTCAGAAGAAACTTGTCATTCATTCATTCAGCATGATTCCATAGAATCAGGTACAATATTATATATGCACAAGTACCTTACAGCTGGCAAGTACTATAAATCTAACAAAGATAACAAATTGATATGGTGACTCATGTAGGCTGATTCCATAAAGGATAATACTGGAGCCCAATCATCCTGGCCCGTTATTTCCATAAGGTAACCCCTTTACTTCATCCACTTTAGCCCTAACAGTAACTTCTTCATTTTTACTTCCAATTCTCCCAATTTCACTCTTCTTCCCGTTCCAATTTCCAAATCCTATGCAATCCCTAATTGATTCAATTTCATTCCCAAATCTCCCTTTTTCAACCCTAACTCAGTTTCCATCATGACAATACCCCCTCCACCAGAGGATCCTTGTCCCCAAGGATCAAAATCGGGGAACTGAGCCTTTAACACCGTATAATCTTCCCACGTCGCCTCAGCTGGTCCCATATTCGTCCATTGAATCAATAATTGGGTAACTGCTCGATTTTGGCGTTTAATCATCCTTTTATTCAAAACTATTGCTGGGTAAACTTTCATCTGGCCATCAGTCGTGAGAGCAGGAGGATCTATGGAAGGTACTCTACCGTGCCCTACTTTCTTTTTGAGTAAACTGATATGGAACACGGGATGTAATTTAGAATCGGACGGTAACTGTAATCTGTAAGCAACCTTACCAATTCTTTGCTGAATTTTGTAGGGACCAAAGTATCTGGCAGCAAGTTTCAGATTTTTTTGCAAAGCAAGTGATGTCTGTCGATAAGGCTGAAGCTTCAGGTAAACCTCGTCTCCCACTTGAAACTCTCTATCAGTGCGATTACGATCTGTTATCTGTTTCATACGATTGCTGGCTTTTAGTAGTTGTTCTCGTAGCAATGTATTTAATTGAACACGATGTTGCATCATGTCCTGAACTGCCCCTACCTTAGACTCATCTGACCAACTTAAGGTAGGAGGTTTATATCCATATAGTGCCTCAAATGGAGTCATTCTCAAAGCAGTGTGGTAATTAGTATTGTACCACCACTCTGCTTGAGCTAAGAACTTTGACCATGATGATGGTTTAAGCAAACACATACATCTAAGGTATTGTTCTAAGCATTGATTGAGCCGTTCAGTCTGTCCATCCGTTTCAGGATGATAAGCAGTGCTAAAGAATGTAGTCGTTCCCAATTGTTTCAATAACTCCTGCCAAAATAGACTGGTGAAAATTTTGTCTCTATCTGAGATAGCAACCTTAGGGGGACCATGTAATTTGTAAACTTCGTCTAAGTATAATCTGGCAACTTCTACCACTGTAAATGGGTGAGATAAGGGTAAGAAGTGAGCATACTTTGTAAACTTATCAATCACCACTAGGATGCATGTGTGTTTCATAGAAGCTGGTAAACCTTCAATAAAATCCATGGTAATGACTTCCCAAACATTGTTTGGGACTGGAATAGGCTGTAACAACCCTGGTTTAGCAATGTGTTCAATTTTCGTCCGTTGACAAACTTCACATTCTTGCACATGCCATTGTATCATAGTTTTCATTTTAGGCCAAAAAAAATAGGACTTGATTCTTTGATATGTAGCTTGAATGCCGGAATGTCCTCCTAGTGCTGAATCATGCAAAGCCCGAATAATCTTTTCTCTTAGATCCCCTTTGCTGCCCACATATACTTTATCTTTAAAATACAGAACCCCTTGAACCAACTTCCAGTCTTCTATAGCATCTGATTGAAGAACCAAAATAGGTAGTTTCTTATGTGCAATTTCATCCTCCTCATAACTCTGTTGAATGTCCTGAATCCAAGTAGGAGTAATAACTGTTATGCCCATTTGTAAAAATTCTCCAGAATCTGCTTGTTGTCTAGAAAGAGCATCTGCCACTTTATTATGCTTGCCTTTTCTATACTGGATTGTATAATCCAGCCCCAACAACTTAGTAAGTCCCTTTTTCTGAATTACTGTCGTTAGTTTCTGCTCCAGTAAATGTTTGAGGGGCTCATGATCTGTCTTGATAACAAATGGTCCACTTTCTAAATAGTGTCTCCAATGGGAAACTGCCATTAAAATGGCTAGATATTCCTTTTCATAGATTGATAGGTCTGCATGTTTTGGTCCAAGAGCCTTACTGAGATAAGCTATAGGCATTCCATCCTGAGATAGTACTGCTCCAATGCCTTTTGAGCTAGCATCTGTTTCCAAAAAAAATTTATGCTCAAAATTAGGTAAAGCCAGCACTGGTGCTTTACACATAACTTGTTTCAGTTTCTCAAATGCTACCATTGCTTCCTGAGTCCAAGAAAAGCCCTCTTTCTTGAGCATATTAGTCAAAGGTTTGCTCAGTTCGCCATATCCTTTAATGAACTTTCTGTAGTAACCTGTCAAACCTAAGAACCCTCTCAGAGCTTTCAAATTCTTAAGTAAAGGCCAATTCTGCATAGCTCCAATCTTAGCAGGATCAGTAGCCACTCCCTGTGCTGAAATCACATGCCCCAAATACTCTACTTTTTGTTGACCAAAAAAGCATTTGCTCCTTTTAGCATATAACTTGTTTACCAGCAGAATCCTTAAAACAATTCTTAAATGATGTTCATGTTCTGTTAAGCTAGAGCTGTAAACTAAAATATCATCAAAAAACACTAGAACAAATTTTCTTAATATTCCCCAAATAAATCATTCATCAGTGCTTGAAAAGTAGCTGGGGCATTAGTAAGCCCAAAGGGCATTACCTTAAACTCATAATGTCCTTGGTGAGTTCTGAAAGCAGTCTTGTGAATGTCTTCTTCCTTGATTCTGATTTGCCAATATCCAGACCTTAGATCAATTTTCGAGAAGAATGCAGCTCCATTAAGTTCATCTAGTAAATCCTCCACTATAGGAATAGGGAATTTATTTTTTATGGTAGCAGAATTAAGCTGTCTGTAATCTACACAGAATCTCCAAGTTCCATCCTTCTTCTTGATTAACAGGCAAGGAGAAGCAAAAGGGCTTTGACTAACTTGAATGATAGAAGCTGTTAGCATTTCAACAATCTGTTTCTTTACTTCAGTCTTATGGGAGTGTGTAAATCTGTAGGGCCTTAGATTTACTGGCTGTATATCTTGTTTTAGGACAATAGCATGATCATGTTTCCTTCTTGGAGGCATTCCTTTAGGTTCTTCAAAAATTTCCTGAAATTCTTCTAGTAAATTCTGAAGTGCTGTAGGAGTTTTACTTTCAGTAACTTCTGCACTCAACCAAAAAATTTCCCCACTCAATTCAGTATCCTTTTCTGCTAATTTCTGAAATTTCTCCCCTGTGATGGCTCTGAGTAGGGGTAATTTCTGAGTTCCCTTAATAACAACAGTTTTTCCTTCTTTCACAAAACTGATAGTTCTGGACTTAAAGTCCATCAAAATGGGACTGAATTCCTCAATCCAATCCACACCAAGCACCATGTCACTGCCTCCTAAGGACAGAACTCTAAAATCATGTTGGAATTCATATCCTTGCATTCTCCAGCTCACCTTATTACTCCTAGCATTGCTGTACAGTTTCTCTCCATTGGCTATTGTAATTACTAAAGGTGGAGTATTTACCAACTCCACTCCCTCCTTAGCCCATTTAGGAGTTACAAAACTATGAGTGCTTCCACTGTCTATCAGTATATTCACTGGTTTTCCCCTGACAAAACCCTTCTATTCTCAGAGTGGTGTGACCCACATTTCCTGTGATGGCATTAATGGATATTTCCAGAGCTTCCTTCTCTGCTTCTTCCTTTTCTTCAGATTCTTCTTCAATCTTTTCAATTCCAGCCGACTCTTCTTCTTCTTCCATGCAGTTCAGTTGTCTGACCTTGCATTGATGTCCAGGGGAAAACTTCTCCCCACATTTGAAGCACAAATTATTAGACCTCCTGTACTCCAACAAACTTTGCTTAGCATTAGTATTCAGGGAACTTGTTTTAGTTAACACACCAAAGTTCAAGTTATTTGGCTGAGTATTCTGAGGTATGTAAGCAAAATTTCTGGTATGAACTTTATACTTTTTTGTCTCAATCTCACTTGCCAACTCATAAAGTTTGGCCTGCCTATATGCATCAGATAGAGTTTTAGGCTCTAACACCTTAACCTTGTGCTTAAGGTCTTCCTTGAGGCCACTAATAAAGCTGGAAACAAAATAAGCTTCCCCCAAATGCATATTCTGTTGTAGCAAATAAGGTTTCAGCTCCTCAAAACTTTCTTGGTATTCTTCCACACTTCCTTTCTGCATTAACTTGTTAAACTCTTCAATAATGTCTGAATAATTTCTGTCACAGAACCTATGGCACAAGTCTGCCTCAAATTCATGCCAAGTCACTCTATGTTTCTGCATAATATAGCCATCAAACCAAGTCTCAGCCTTTCCCATTAAATACATTGCAGCCACATCTAATTTCTGCTCCTCAGGAACTCCCAAAAGATTAAAATATTTATGGCATTTTCTAACCCATCCTCTGGGATTACTGCCATCAAACATCTTTAGTTCTAATTTGGGTCGAGGTAAAATAGGCCCTGAACTCCCAAACAAACCCTTACTGTCCACTTTCACCTCACTAGAATTGCCCATAATATTTTCTTCTTGCAGTTTCTGATTAAAAGGTATAGGACCAGTAAACCCCACAAGTTTAGAAGCTAATATCCCCGGTTCATTAGGTTGAAAAGTATACTTCTCATGCTCACTAAGAACCTTAATCAAGCATGGTTGCTTACCTCCATTTTGGTTCTGTTTTTCAGCTGCTGTGGCTTGATTCTTCACTGACTGAGGTAAATCTTTTTCCTCAGCTGCTTGATTGACCAGCTGTAAGATCCTCTGTAAATACCCTCTGTTTTCCGTCATTCCTTCCTCTAAGGTTTGTAATCTTCCTTCCAACTCGACTTTCTGCTCATTCCACCACGATGGTAAAGTATCCTCTTTCACCTCCGTGGTTTGTTCTGGTACCTCACTGGTTCCAGTTTTCTGCATTTTTCTTGTCTTTCCCAGCGTGAAAAATGGTTTTGGATTACAAAACTTAGCTCTGATTACCAATTTGTTACGAATTAGGGGTGAATTTTGGGGATTTCAGAAGAGAATTAGAAAAGGATTCAGAAGAAACTTGTCATTCATTCATTCAGCATGATTCCATAGAATCAGGTACAATATTATATATGCACAAGTACCTTACAGCTGGCAAGTACTATAAATCTAACAAAGATAACAAATTGATATGCTGACTCATGCAGGCTGATTCCATAAAGGATAATACTGGAGCCCAATCATCCTGGCCCGTTATTTCCATCAGGTAACCCCTTTACTTCATCCACTTTAGCCCTAACAGTAACTTCTTCATTTTTACTTCCAATTCTCCCAATTTCACTCTTCTTCCCGTTCCAATTTCCAAATCCTATGCAATCCCTAATTGATTCAATTTCATTCCCAAATCTCCCTTTTTCAACCCTAACTCAGTTTCCATCATGACACCGTAACACGCACTTCCCATTCTGAAAGAAGAAGATGACTGAAACCTAGCACCTTCCAAGGCTGGGGTATTCTTGGCATCGTGTAGCAGTCTGGGAGGCAGTTCCAGGCACTTTTGGGCCAAGTCATTGAGGTCAGAGAAAATGGTTAGTGTGGTACAAGGTTTAGGCTTTCCCGGTTCCTCTTCCCACCGAAACGGAACCGTGGTTGAGGCGTGTAATGGTGGGGTTAACGTCCCTGATCTTTCTGGCGACTGCTTGTGCGCTTGTGGAGATGAGAACAGCAGTAGCTTTGGTGTGTAGCTCCATTGTTTTTCTGCTTCGGATCCCATGATTTCTTCCTCTGTCTACCGCCAAGAATGGGGTGAGCTCTGGTTTTTTTTGGTCCCGGTAAGAAGAGTCGGCCTTTTAAGTTAATCTCGTCGCTATCTTCCCCACCACCAAGCAAAGACTAAACAAAACTTGTACCAATCTAAAAAAATGATAGGTTGAAAGTAATACTTATAAATTAATCAGATTGGCCTTAATCATAAAGCAAAAATGATTGCATTGCATATCCCCAGAGAAAGTCAAGGTTAAACAGTGAAAGCACCTAAAATCAATCATCTACTTTGCACCTCTTCTCCTTTCAAAAAAAAAATATACTTTGCACCTCTTCTGGTGACCTCAGCTTTATACAACTGTTCATAGTTTGGGTTTAAGTCAAATGAAGAAATGTGGCAGCGTGGAGAAAGTTAGTGGAATATATTGACCGGTGTGAAGGCTTGGGTGCAAGCAACAAGGGTAATCATAAGCTCATAGGATTGTAGCTGGAGGCTCATTGGATGCCAATTTTGAGTGACCTGACATGATCCAAAGGGAGAATCATGGCACCCTTTTTCAAAAGTGTGCTTGTTTTGGACTATACTTCGTCCACTTTCTATGGATTGAAACTTTCCCTTATTCACTTGCCAATCCAATTTCCCCACGTGAGTTTCATCTTCATTCCTGGTTTATGATCACCGCAATATCATCGAGGACAAAGAATGTGGATGAAGATGTTCAATAAGGATCAGCACCATACAATTGGGCCACATCCCCAACAATGAACTAAGTGCTAACTAAATGCAAACATTTATATATGTAATATATTTTACAGGCTGATTATTCACTGAAACCACCCAACAAAGAAAAGGGTATTCACAAATGGCAGTCCTCCCATTTCCAAACCTACAAATATTCCTACTTCCTGCACTTTTCCCTAATGCAACTTTTCATTCACTACTCGAATCAAAATAAGCAAAAACAAAATAAAACCATATATATATATATATATATATATATATATATATATAAAAAGGGGTTTTCAAACTGTCTTTCATGTTTCAGACCTATGATATGAATCAATGTCTTCACCCACCAAAGATGAAGCCGCAATTTTACATCTTGCACTAATATTCTTCACCTCTTCGCGTGAATATACGAAGATCTTTCTCACCATCTTGCAAAAATCCCTACAAATAAAATAAAGGGAAAACTTTAATTTTCTAAAACTTGTTGTGAAAAATAAACAAAGCAGGTGTGCTTCTTCAAAGTTACTTACAGCCATGGATCATCGCCCACGAGCATCATATCACCCTCGTCGTCAGTAAAAAAAACAGACCATTTACCATTGGGGCAAAGCTCTCCACTGATATCAAACATCTTTTCCAGCTCATTAATGAGATCATCGTATCCTTTCAATACAGTTAAGTCAAAAGCTCGACCAACTGCAATCCCTTGCATGTGTACCTTTGGTATCCATAAATATTGATTCAATCATGGAACATAAATGATGAAAAAGAAATATAAGAATAAGCATGCAGCTGCCCGTATTTACCTTGGTACAAGTTCTCATTGAAGTAAAGGCACCCTGCTTAGCTTGCATCTCCTTGGTAGAGGTCTCTGATGCAACTTGCTTCAGTTCCTTCAAAGACTTCACTGTTTCAGGGTTCTGATCAGTATGAGACACATCTGGAAGAGATTCTCTAACACAATTGTGACCGACCGTTGTGGTTGCTTGTTCCTTGTCCGTGGGGGCAGCTGCACTAGTGCTATCTGTCAAATTAAACCCAAACAACCGGCAACCTGTGGAAGTCTCAGATTTTTTCCCTTTCTCAACTTGCTCCTGCTTCTGGCCATGGCTAGGTCCGGATTGAAAAGAAAAAGCATGATCCGTGACAACAGCCTGTGGTATTCTAGTTTTGTTTTTGTCCCCCAATGAATTTAGAGACACATTCAGAAGAGGTGAACATGGCCAGGCATTTTCAGGGCGAATCCTCGAGTTATAACCTCTATTACTATTGATAAGACCGTAATCCGCTTCTTTCTGCCTCATAGGCCACATAACTTGGCTTTCACTTCTTTGGACTTCGAGTGTGCTTCCTACTTGAGTTAGCTCCTGAAATTTGGTTGAACCATGGCCCCAAAAGGCTAAACCAGCTGAATTTGTAGTAATTTCTACAAGTTCAATTAATATATCAAAGTTAATCAAGTCGGCATCCAATAGTCCACTGAAAATACTTTAAAGAACAATGTTCCCACACCTGAAACTGGAACATCAACAGGTCGCGGTCTTTTGCTCTTTACAGCTGGTTGTACAAGATTTATAGAAGCAGAAGCCACAAATGGCTCTATTTCCCATGGAGAAACTCTATCTGGCTTTTGTATCATTGCAGGTTCATCCCATTGAACCTAAAAGCAGAAACAGTCGGGTAGAACTACTATAAAAAAACGAACAACTAAGTTAGTATTTCATATCAATAATTTAAATTATATTCAACCTTCAAGGACCGCCATTTAGATTCTGACCAATGTGGGGAGAAATCTCCAACTCCAACTATGGTACCCGTGAACCTGATTTTGAAAAGGAAATGACAACAGGTAAAAAGGATGAGAAAAAAAAAGACAAACATTAGAGAACTACCTACAGAAACGACCATACCTTCTCTCAGGAAAGTCTTCTCCCTCAAATCTCATCTTAAAACGCATACCAACGGAGAATCCATTTTTCATGGCGTCTAAATACTTATTTACTCCTATTATGAATTGGCTCGTCCTAACAAGAGCAAACGGAAAGAAACTCAGCCCATAGGTAACTAGAATAAAAACTAATATTGCCAACCGTGTCTGCATCAAGAAAGAACATTAACCTTGGCTTGTAGTACACAACAAAGAGGGTTTGTGTTGTAACAGCATGAGCAGCAGTAGCGAGCACTCCTAAATGCATGCTCTGGCTGGAAATCACAGATGAAGGCATTTTGCTCTGTGGGCAAGCAAGCCGCCGAACCCCAACCCTTAGTTCGTTGTTATCACCTCTAATAAAACAAGCCAATACAATTAGAGACTACAAAAATACAACATTGACAGTTTGACACATAACCAAAAAAGAGCTGCAGAAGTATGAGTACCTGAGAAACACAAATGTATCTCCGGCAACCAATCTCTTGGAAGTGACAAAGGTGCTCCATCCTGTCGTAAGCAAATGTCTCCGTGGTTGCCCTGTGTAGTTGGAATTGCGAATTAAAGCAGATCAAGAAAGGAAAAATGATAGAGCTACCATTTACATTTGCCTAATGATGACATGTAAAGTAAATCTGAAATGGAAAGAAACCATTACCCCTAAATATATGCTTGAACCGCCACTCGTATCCATGAAGGTCTTTGGCAGCCAACTCCTGAGTAGGGGTTGTTTGATTCATATCCTATTTAAAATAAACACAGTTTAAGCCAATACCATTCTGGAAGTCTAACAAGAATTATTAACACGATAAATCAAACTTAGCACCAGAGGAGGCAGGCACTCAGTAGCATGCTTTCGGAGAACAGAGAACCCTCCATGAGTGCTCGTGTCGGATGCAGTTAAAACCTTACAAAAGGAATGAACTGTCTGCTTGGGAGCCTCAGTTGGGCAAGGATCAGGACTTGTAGGTTCACTTTGCTATAATGACAAACATGAACTGAATTTAATTATATTATGTTTTCATTCACATTTCCTAATAAAATCTGTCAACCCAAAGAGTACGAAAAAAGGAATACTAAAAAGAAAATTTGGATGGGACTATGTTTGCTTACATCTGCTTCAGGCTGCAAAGTGATCTGAGCATAAGCCTCGTCCGTCTCATGTTCGGCCTATTTCATTAACAAAAAAATAATTACAATAATAAGATAATCTTGTCAAGCTCGAAAATTAAAGAAATGATGGGAGAAAAAAATAATGAGAGATAAAATACCAGTAACTGGACGTGAAGAACACGACATAGGATCTTAGAAGGAAGATTAAACAGTGGGGGTTGATTCTTAAGTTCCTGATTAGTTGATGCTTCTAACTGCAGAACACATCAGAGAAAATTCAATAGAAAAAACAAAGCAAAAATCTTGCAAAAAACAAAGACAGGAAAAGAGAAAAGCAAATGGCGGATTTCAAAGTTTTAATCTAAATATAGATGCAATTTAAACATAAGGAATAGGCCAAAAGCAATTTAAAAAAAAAGGCAATTACTTGTTCCATGTGACCCTGAGGGAAGTAAAAGACTCTCTCGTGATCCCGAGGAATGTCCACCAACGGGCCTGCGCATAACTTCCATAGCTCTTGGTACAGATCATCACCACCCAAACCTATCATACAAAAATTTAAAAGAAAATTCGAGTCATAAGTTCAGTAGAGGAAAACAGAACAGTCAAACCGGTACACTAGAATTTTGATATACCCATCAAAGGATTTTTCATAATTAAGCTGCTAAACTAATACCCAGTTAAGCTGAAGTTCAAAGCACCAATGTCCGTACATACCGTAGTACAACCTAAAGAAAACTTTTGTTCTTCTAGTTTCTCAGCAGCCAAGCAGGTTCAGTTTCCGAACACCCATAAATAATAAGACAAACCCAATTTCTATAACTTAACACTGACCCGACACCGCGTGAGCAAACGAAGAACCCCATGGATTAACTTCTACTTTAACCATCAAAACTAGGACGCACGGACGATGCAGAGAAAGTAAATCACTAAAGAAGAAAAAAATGTGTTCGTGAAGCAGGCAGAGTCTACCCCATTAAATGAAAGCAAAGACCAAAGAAGCAAAAACAAAACCCCGGGAAGACTTGAAACGATGAAGAAAATTGTAGAATATTAAAAACAAACAAGAGAGAGAGAGCGACGATTATACATGAATTCATTGTTGGTAGTTTCTCTGTAACGACTACGAAGAATTAATCTTTTTTCTTATAAATAATCTTTGGGCTGCTGCTCTCTTTCAGTTACAAAACCGCTTTCAGCTTGAAACCACTTTTGTTTTTTCTGGTGAAGCACGCAGCTCTAGTGTAAGACGGAGGCTGTTGCTGCTTGTCTTCCTTCTCCAGCTGAAAGAGAATTGAATCGGCGTTACCAAATCCCCAAAACCGCTCACTTTGTTTTCTCTCTCGTGTCTCTATCTTCAGCTTTCTTTTGTTTTTCTTTTTTTGACTACTTGTTTTAAGCTTGTGTCGTAGTTGAGATTTTAGTCCTTTGTTTTCCCTCGCATCATGTGATTTGCTCTGCACTTCTTTTATCTCACCACTCCTCACTTCCCCACCTTAATTTCCTTTTCTTTTCCAATAGTAACATGTTTTACTCATATTTTTGTAAAATACTGCCATTGAAGGTGTAAATTAGAACCAATAGATTGTGTATATATTCATTTATTTATTTTTAACAACGTTTATTTTTTATTCTTGTTTATTTGAAATTTTAATATCATATTCAGATTCATTTATTTATTTTTAAGATATTTCGTTTATTTAGCGTTTGTGATCATATTTATTTAATATTTGTGGATATATTATTAACAATCAGTTGATCTAGTAAGATGAGGCATTAGGTCCCTTAAGTAATGTTAGATGTTTGAATTATAGCGTTTAAGAATGGAGCAAACTGGGTTGGGAGGGTCGCCCTCACCTCTGCAATATCCGATTTGAATTAATCGATTAATAAATCGGATACCAATAATTAATTTAAAAAAAAAATTGGTGGACATATTTATTTATATGTTCACTAGCCTATTCGCTTAACGTTGGTCTCAATATATTCCTTTATATGCTCATAAATGATTACTAAACAAATAATAATAAAATGAAAATTGGTAAAATTACATCACTAATATGTAAGCTCCTTAGTTTTCACAATTTTAACTCTAAAATTTGTCTTATATTTAATTTAGTTTCTATATTCACCGATATTTAAAATATAAAAAATTAAAAGAAAAATAAAAATCAGGTAAACGAGCTTATAAATAAGTCAACTAACTAATTTGTTCATTGACATAAATAAATCAAATACACATTTATTCGTGTTTGTTCATTTATTAAATAACAAAAGTTTTTTCGTACTCTTTTAATTAGTTTAATAAATAAACATAAATAAATATTATACGACCAACTAACAATTCATCGTACATTTTATTTATTTATACTTCTAAATGTTATCATATTTTTATGCTTGAATGATATAATGGAAATTATTTTTCATTATTTAATAAAAAAAAATTATTATTTAAATTTAAAACTACTACTCTTTAAAAATAACCACTCCCTCGAAATGAAAACCCAAACTTACCCTCATTGATAAAATTAGCCTTGGGGATTCTTGTTTTCTATATTGCATTTGATCATGTTATAATAATTATTATAAAAAAAATGTTATAATAATTATAATCGAGGTATGCTACACCAGATATCACTTAATTTTAAGTGTTTATTCGTTTATATCATTAAACTTTTAATTTTATTAATTTTAAAGTTAACGTTTATTTTTAAATACAATTATGTCATTCTATCGTTAATGACTTAACGAGACGATGACATGACAAACGTGAGCCATGAAGTTGTTGATGTGGCTATTAGATTATTTATATGTTTTAAATTTATCAATTATAAGACATTGTTTTGTTGAATCCCCTGAAAATTAAAAGTTACAAATGATCATTAGATTATTTATAAGTTCCATATTCATCACTTTCCGTTAAAAAAATAGCGACTATTAAAAGTTGCAAAATGATTCATTAATTATAGGGAGTTATTTTATTGAGTCCATCGAATATTAAAAGTTACAAAATGATCCCTCAACTATAGAGAGTTGCTCTGTTAAGTCAATCGATTAGTAAAAGTTACAAAATGTTGATTGAGGAAAGATTGCAAAATGGTCTCTCGGCTGTAGGGATTTGCTCTATTAAGTCCATCGAATATTAAAAGTTATAAAATGTTATGAGTTGTACGTTAACATGCTGATTGATATATAATAATCGTTTGAGATTATGTGATCAAATTTTATCATAACTCAGTAAGTAAGTTACCGTACAACTCAAAATTCGATAAAAAATTTAACGGAAAATGATGATTTTGGAGTATAATTAATAGTTGATGATCATTTTGTAACTATTAATAGTTAAGAGACTTAACAAAACAACTCCTTAAAATCAAAGAACTCTATAACTTTTAATAGTATGAGACTTAATAAAACAATACCGTATATTCATGAGATCATTTATACGCCCTTTAATAATTTAACCAGATCGATTTAATCCCCTCCCTGTAATAATGGGATTAATAGGTATTTTCACTGGGAACAAATACTGTTGGGCTATCGCCGTTTCTTTCTTTGTCTGAATCGTGGCAGGCAACCGTGTTGGTACTCTAAAACCGACGGAGAACCTCCGGGTATCTTATTTACTTACTAAGATTCGAGTTATTCGGATTATTTCTCAAATAAAATCAAATATAATGACTGATGAGAAGAGAAGCAATTTTTTCCTTTCTATTTTGGCATTGTAGATCCGTGTAATTACTCAGTTTGCCACTGCCGCTTAGGAGAACCCACCGGAAGCATGGGTCAAAACTCAATTAATGATTATTGGTTACAATAAAAATAAATTGTAAAAAAAAAAAAACCACAATCGCTTAAGAAACGATGACGAGAACCAAGGAAGCACTAAAAAGATCGCCACAAAAAAAAAAGTGAAACGTAAAACAGCGAGTGTTGGGTACGTTCAATTAATGAGTCACGTTTTGCGAGGAAGCCGACATGGTAGGTATGGTCCAGCAAGTGTTCGGTCGCTCAGCTACCAACGTGTCACAACCCGACTTGTCTCGCTTCTCCGATGCAGGACATTCTGCTTCCCATCTTTTAAACAATCTGACTGAAACTTCACATCCCTTTTATTTTCTCTAAAAATTATATAAACCAAGAAACAAACACTATGTATATCTAATCTATGCATATGTTTTTCTCTCTGGTTGAAGCAACATTTGATGTGATGCCAACAAATTCATACCATCATAATATAATATTCCCTTAATTTTAGTATTAATTAATGTTGGGTTTATAAATTATTACTGTACGAAAATGATATTAAGATTTCAATATAGATATGCAAATCTTCGTGGTTGGAATTCAACCAAATATAATTTAAAATTAAGTGTTTTTTCATCTTTCATTTTTATTTTACAAGAATGATTTTACCTTTTGGTTATAATAAAAAATATATATCAAGATAAATAAGATTGAAATATAAAGATATTAAAGTCTAAATTTTACAAAATAAACTATGTCGAATGATGAATTATGATTTAATTTCTTAAATTTTAACCTCTAAAAAATGTGAGTATTTACACACACGAGACTTGAACCCCAAACATATGGAATATAAATCATTAATTTGTAAAAATGATACCACCTAGGCTGATGTATTTGTCTCCGGACCAAGTGTATACTCATTATTTTGGATAAGTTATTAAATATAATTTAATATATTAAGAGGATGAGAAGAAGATAAACAATTTTGTATACCCATTTATTAGAAAAAAGAGTATTACAATTTGTTAACCTCATTTTTAAATTTAAATTCCTGGATCTATCAGTGCCTAAGTCGCTCCCTAAGCGTAAATATTCAAATTTCTCATCAGACCAAGCTCTTATGGTATTTGTGATGCTTTTGATTTTGTAAATCTTCAAACAATTTTTTAATAAAATTATAGAAATAAAATTTTGACTCGAAACAATACTTATATTGTTAGAAGTTTAATTGATTAATATCAAATGAATGATACTTCAAAAATTATTTTCAAATAAGTTAGAACGTCGATTATCGAATTGTAAAAAGTATATGTATAAAATAATCACATATCATAATTGCCTTGAGATATCAGACTTTTAATTTGATGCTGGTTTTTTGTTTTTCTATGAAAGGGAAAAAAATAATGCATTTAACTTCGATTTTATGAAGCATATATTGGACCTCATCTCATCATTGTGACATTTCCTTTTCCCTAATAAGGGAGCACTGGATTACACAAAAATTGTAAAAGAAGAAGTCAACGATATCATTTCTTTTATAAAAATGCAATTGCTGATTAAATTTAAAAAAAATCTAAATTACACTCTTCTAAAGAACTTTTTATTTCATTTCTATTTAAAAATTTATTAAAAAAATGAAAAATTTACTTTTGAAGTGATTTAAATTTACGTCTTGCATGTACCCGTTAAATGATCTCAGTGATTGAAAGGGATGTTGTTATTTTTAGAAGTCTCAAATGTAAGCAACGGTGTTTGTGCGTTCATTGTCAATTAGTTTAGAGATTTCAAACATATTTCATCTTGTAATCACTGCTTGTTAATAAAAAAAACTTATATCTTATGCAGTGACAGATATTGACAATATAGTTTGAGATGACCTAATTAAAATTTTCGAAATTTATAGAGATTTGATAAAAAAATTAAAAACTTTATAGGGATTTAATGAAAACTTTATAGACATACTCTCTACATAGTATCATTTAATTTAATACATTTGTTAAAAAGGTTACTAACTAGTTGCACTAACAATTTATTCTGATTGGTCTTACCGATCAAAACAAACAGCTATACCCAAATCATTATTCTATTACATGCGGATCGGAATATTCTTTGCAAACAACAATAAGAATAAAATAAAATGAAAAGAGCTTAATGGTAGTGGTGGAATCCAGATCATATAAATTACATTAACTAGGGTTAAATGTGCCAACGTTCACTGTTAACCCAATATGCGTCACTAATCACAATTAGTAACCATCGATTGCGTTAACCTTTACACTAATCACAATTAGTCAAGCATTTCTTTTTCATTCTTTTCTGAAGAAAGAATTGGAGTTAGAGAGAGAGAGAGAGAGAGAGCATGTTTGAAGAACAAAACTTTTAATTAAGTTGAAGATTAAGATTTTATTCCCAAGTCGCATCTTTTCAAGATTTTAAGCAACCCCTTTTTGACTATATTAAATAAAAAAATTCAAAAAAATAAATTTAAAAACTTGTACACAAATAAACTATATATATAAGGGAAAAAATTAATAAATTATATTTTTTATAATTATTAATATCTAATTTATTACTTGATTAATTTAGATCAAATATTACACAGTCTGATGATATTTCTAATTTAATTTTATATGTTATATCAAAATTCAAAATTTAAACATTATTGAAAAGATCTAACATTTTTTTGGTGTAAATTAGGTTGAATTGACCAAGCTGGTAATGCAAAAATGACAAAAAATTCTCTTCCCGGGGAGCAAAAATGTAATTTCCATTTGT